ACTGCATGTCCCCAGGACCTGGAACAAGCATGTAGCCAATGAAGTGATGACCACCTAACATAACTACCTGGTGACACTGGAGAATTAGACCTTTAAAAACAAGCCTACTTATTTCACAGCTGCTGCAATGAAAAATACCTTCCCATACTGATATAAAAATGATCTTTCATCCAGAGCAAACTGACTGCATATTTTTAACTATATTATGCGCTAAATCCTACTCAATATATAAAATAATTAATACGCAGCCAATATTATTTTTGAAGAACATGTTTTATCTCCCTTTTTATATGCCTCAAGATTTTATTTGCTCATGTAGCATACAATTAGCATTGAATGATACTGCTTGGCTTATAATTACAAGTACTCACAAGAACTTCTCAACTTGTTTTTACCCAGTCAAATCCAGTTTCATGCAAAGGTAGCAAAGCTATTACTGTGGTGTCAACTGCCATTTAACAGTATGCACTACCAGATCCTACTGTAATATGTCAGTATAAAATTGTTAGAAAATGTATATATATATATATATATATATATATACTGTATATTATTATAAATACCTTTTTTTACTTTTTTCAGTACACTCATCTACCCAGTGAATGGCTGCGCAGGGAAGCAGTGTCAGCAGATGTCTGACAGGAAGGCCATTCTCCCAGCACAGCTAGAAAATGACCATGCTGGGATGGATGTGCTCTCATGCATAGTGTGGTCAGTTTGAAATAGGAGTAATGAAGTAGGGGAGCAGGGGAACTGGCAGGAGCAGCAGGTATTCCACACAAAGGAAGCAATACAAGGGGAACAGGATACCTTTTAACACAAGTACATGGTACGACAAGCACATAGCAGGAAAATGCAATGTTGTGATAACATACTCTTTAACTGCTCCGACTCCAGAAAACTGATGTCTGATTGGCTGCTCCATGATATCAACATCACCATTAATCTTTATACCTCTCTAAAAAAGTACAGTGTGTATTTAAAAAAGTAGTGCAAAGAAATGTACAGTAAATCAGGACAATTTGTCAGAAATCAGCCGTAAAGTAAATCTGTTAACATCTGACCAAGTGATTTAAAAAGATAATCAGAGTTTTTTTTCAGTGGAAATCTCATTTTAAAATGGTCAGTAGATCCAGAGATATAAGCAAATCATGACTTTTCATGTAAAAGTCAAAATATACTCCTCCTCTCCTGCTCTTTTATTGGGCCTTTAACATAATGAACCACCTCACTGTCAAAGAGGAGACTTCAGAGATTGAAAAGGACAGGGTAACACAACCTTTTTTTTTGTAAAGTTGAGATTTGTATGTAACTTCAGTTTATATCTCTGGAATCTGCACTGATCATTTTAGCATGTTATTTTCACTGTAGGTAACCAATGCTTTTAAATTTTCTTCATAATTTGCCCTAAATGGCCCAGGATTGTGATAAGGTCACTGTTATCAGTGGCAAACAATTTCAACATTCAACTACTGACCAAGTATAAGCACCTTTACTGTGATGAGAGAAAAATAGCTATATAGATAGATCTCAAGACTAGCAGCTGTAATGTGCCATTTTTATAAATGCATTCTTTCTTAAAATATGTTGAAAATGCAAGCCATGAATTAGAAACTCACATTATTGCATCCACAAACATGAGTCTTTTGCCTTTTTATGGAATGATTGTTGGAAGAATATATATTTACCCTAAAGGCATGGAACTATACTGTGGTCCACTTTCCTACTTAAAAAAGTAGGAGACAGTATCATATTTTCCATCACTTGTACACAGGCTTACTCACGCAAAGATGCTCCAGTACACCAAAAAAAAAAAAATATATTTATTAGTTCAGCTATAACAGAGAGGCAAAAAAAGCATCTATTACGCTTTTAGCCTGAACCTTTTGCGAAAGACAAATGACCAAATAATAGGCGATTTATCAATTCTGAAGCTTGTAATGCCAACAAAAAAAATCCCTCCCCCTGTATTATTTATTCTTCATTTGTCTTCTCCTGTTCCTATATAAAAACTATAGACAGGCCATATACTCACATGATTCTGTAGCCAACCAAGATTCCCCTTGTGCAGCCATCATATTTGTCAAGTGTCACCAAATAATTGGACTCCATTTATAGACAGTTAAGTGAACATGAAAGGAGTCTTAAAGGACACCTGCACCAACAGTTGCCTAGCTGTTTCTGGCTCCACTAGTTTGTAACTCACTGACCTGAAACAAGCATGTAGATTGGAGTCAGAGTGCAACCAGAACTCCTGATATACAAACTTGTTCCAGTCCAGTGCCTCATAGAACAATGAAGGCACAGGATCAGTAATACAATCAGGCAACTATCGTTTGCTTCAGGAGAGGTCAGAAATGGCTATCTCCACAATCTCAAAGTAGTTCCTTTAGGGTTTATTTACACTCATGCTTGTGTTAACACATATCTTTTTGTTTTCCATAATCTATAATTTATTATTGAAAATAAAACTTAAATCTTCAAGATCGTCATTACAGCCAATATCATAATCATCAACAATAGAAAACACACAAAAAAGGATAACTGCAGCAATAACAAACTATATTAGAATAGAAAGAATCATTCCCTCGTAAGGTGCCCTAGCAGCATCTGAACATATCAAATTGAACAAGACATATAGTCAAGGGCTCAACATACAAATCTGAACAATGTATTCCCAACTATGTAAGAAACATAAACAATACAAAAGCATGTATGGCGGCACAGTGGCTTAGTGGTTAGCACGTCTGCCTTGTAGTAAATGGGTCATGGGTTCGTTTTTCCAACCATGGCGCCTCCTGCATGGAGTTTGCATGTTCTCCCTGTGCTTGTGTGGGTTTCCTACGGGTGCTCCGGTTTCCTCCTACACTTCAAAGACATGCTGGTAGGTTAATTGGATCCTGTCTAAATTGTCCCTAATATGTGTATGCATGAATGTGAGTTAGGGACCTTAGATTGTACCCCCCTTGAGGGACTGATGTGAATGTTCAATATATGTGTAAAGCACTGCATAAATTGACAGCGCTATATAAGTACCTAAAATAAATAAATAAAAGCATTGAACCTGTGGGGTTTCATTACGGAAAATTCTTCAGGTTACTTGTAACACACATCGTTTTATGCGTTAGTGCATGTGGAAGACCATTTGCTTTGAATTGGTTAACTAATGAGCCTCAATACACAAAAAAAAGCCTACCTGCACTACTTTTGGCCAACAGAGCACAGCACAATGCACAAAGTGTTCACATCTGTGCATTTCAGTGCACTGTAGGGCAGGTGCATCTATTTATTCTGAATATGTGTGTCAGGTTAAATGGCAATGCACATAAACGACATGTTAATATGTGTTTTGGTAGCACACACTAAAATGCAGATTGTAATGCATATCACCAGGCTCAAAGGTATGCTCTAGATCTGATTGTGATTGCCCTCACTGGCTTGTCTCTGGAACATTCACTGAGATTTTCCATTGATAAATAATGTTGACATTGTTGGCATTGCAAAAGCATGGGCATCAATATGGAGATGTCCCCCCCCCCCCCCCCACCCCCCCCCCCCCCCCCCCCCCCCCCCCCCCCCCCCCCCCCCCCCCTTTGCAGCTATAACATTCTCCTCTCTTATCGGAAGGCTTTCCAAAGAGTTTGGAGTATTTCTGTGGGAATTGTGGGCCATTTTCCTCTCTCCTGGGAAGGCTTTTCACAAGAATTTGGAGTGTTTCTGTGCAAAATTTGTGACCATTCTCCACTCTTCTGAGAAGGCCTTCTACAAGAGTTTGGAGTGTTCCTTTGGGAATTTGTGACCATTCTTCACTCTTTTAGGAAAACCTTCTACAAGAGTTTTTTCTAAGTTTTTTTTATTGATGTCATATGGACATGAAAGATTTCACTGGTGTGCCAAAGTCACAATTATCATTTTGCTTGTTGCTTTGGACAGAGCATGGAATTGTAAAAGTGTTGCTGTGAAAATTTGTGACGATTCTTCACTATTTTAGGAGGACTTTCCAAAAGTGTTTGAAGTGTTTCTGTGGGAATTTGGGCCCATTCTCCACTCTTCTAGGAGTACTTTGTACAAGAATTTTGAGTGTTTGTGAGATTTTGTAGCCACTAAGCCAAAACAATATTTGGGAGGCCGGGTACACATTTTGAACTAGAAGACATTTGGTGTTTCAACTCATATCAAAAGTGTTTATTAGGTGTTCAGAGGTATTTGCAGGGCACTTGAGTTCCTCAGAACCAACCTCATCAAATCATGTCTTTATGGGCCTGCCAGGTGCCTCTTTTGTATTGCTTCCACTGGCAGGTCAACCTAATAGAGAAAACAGCCAACCACAAACATCTAGTGAAAGTTTTTTATGCATCTAATGCAATGTGAGCATCTTCATAAGTGATGCCAAGATTTTCCATAATCTAAGTTTTTTTTATTGATGTCATATAGACATGAAAGGTTTCACTGGTGTGCCAAAGCCACAATTATAATTTTGTTTGTTGCTTTGGACAAAGCATGGAATTGTAATAACTGTTGTCGAGCTTGTAGGGTTTTTTGTATCCCATTATGAAGAACTGCCTTCACTTTCTCTTCAAAATAAGAAAAGCTCCCTTTTGGACAGTTGTTACTGGAACAGGTGTCCCCATTGAAATATTTTCTTATTTTATTCCTTTTCTGGTAACAACTTTTAAATCTGGTGGCAGCAGTCACCAATATACATATAGAAGTTGAATCTCTCCATTGACATCAATAAAAACCTAGCAAAGGTTCTGACATTTCCCTACTCTAGCAAATAAAAAATAGTTTCAGCTTGAGACAAATTTTAATTGGTAGGGATGGAGTTTGTTATCTTCCTTTCTACTAATATAGCGAATCTAGGGCACAAACTATTCAGGGGAAGTCCTAAGTGAGCATTGCATCCAAATAGATGTGAGGTACAGCAAGTCAGGTTTCTTTTAAACTGGTAGTTCTTTTTTATGTGCCATTGAATCAGGAGTCTTTTAAACTGGGAGATCTTTTTATATGCCAGCAGGGGCGGACTGACCATTTGGAAACTCGGGCACTGCCCGAGGGCCCGGGGTCAGTAGGGGGGCCCCATGAGATGCCCCTGGTACCTTTTTCATAGGCTTTTTTGAGTTTGGGCAAGGACACAGGGGCCCCATGATCCCCTATTGCCCGGGGGCCCCATGAGTTGTCAGTCCACCCCTGTATGCCAGTGAAACATACTGTATGCTATAGTGAAATTACAAATACAGTCTCTATACTAAACAGCTATTGTAAATTTAGGTGTTATGCAGATCTCAACTGAGTGAATTTAATAGGATAAAAATGGCAATGTCTGAGCTCTCACTGTATATTATTGTATAGCTTGTCTCCCTGAACTGATTCCTCTCCCCCACTCATCAAGTAATTCTGACACATTGCACGGAGGATGTAATTAAAGTGATTATTACAAAGATTATTATTACCATGCTTGACTGAGCCGTCTTCTTGCAGGGAAAATTGCATGAACTCTGCAGCTTATATTAGTATGCTCTACATCGTTTTCTCAGTTAACAGAGATCTGTCATTACAGAAATATGTAGGCTTTCGTATTTGGCCTGTCCTTATGAAAATGCTAGTTGTCTGGCTGTCATGATAATGGTTATAACCCTATAAATAATTCTGACTCTTCATTTTTGCATTCCATTTGCTGTATGATTTTTCCAGGGTTGTCTCAGAGAAGCTAGCCATCCAGACACAGCAAGGCAACTAGCAATTTCAGAAGGAAGCCCCTCTGAATTTGCAATGATATATGCAGCAGGAGTGTATTTAGACTTTGTGCTCCCCTAGGCAACACAAAAATATCTGAGCCCCCACACACACATACACACCCTCCCGGTGAAATAATAAATATTGGGGCAGCACAGTGGCTAAATGGTTAGCACTTCCGCCTGGCAGTACTAGGGTTGTTGGTTCAAATCTCAACCACGGCACCACCTGCCTGGAGTTTGCATGTTCTCCCTGTGCCTGTGTGTGTTTCCTCTGGGTACTGCGGTTTCCTCTCCCACACTCCAAAGACATGCTGGTAGGTGAATTGGATCCTGTCTAAATTGTCCCTAGTATGTGTATGTATGAATGTGAGTTAGGGACCTTAGATTGTACACCCCTTGAGGGTTAGGGACTGATGTGAATGTACAATATATATGTAAAGAACTGCATAAATTGACAGCGCTATACAAGTACCTGAAATAAATAAATAAAATGAATAAATAAATCTCCTCCAGAGCAATTGAAACAGCAGGTGCAGTGGCTCAGTATGAGTGAGGGGAGGGGATCTCCCAATGCCAAAATTCCTGGCAGGACACCTCCCCCACCCTGAAGATCAGGCAGACGACTCTGAACAGCAGCTCTCCTCCCCGGGTGGTTTGTGATTGTACATGTATCCCAGATTGTTCCTCTTCCCCTCCCTCCCAGCTTTCTGCACCAGTCCCCGTGTCTCCAGGAGTCCGTCTCATACCAATGATCGGTCCACCGTCAGGAGGGGCAAGGGTGGCCAGGGTGAGGCACAGACCAGTACTGGCCAGCAGCCTCATCACACTGGAGGAGAGCACCAGCCTCAACCCAACTGCCTACCCACCAGTCCCCCCCACCTCCCCCATACACCACCACAAACTCCTCCTCCAGAGAAGGAGAGAGACTCACCATCCAGTCCCAGTGCCCAGGAGGACCATTGTCCCTTCTTCCAGGGGGCAGCGCCACTTCCCCTGAAAAATGGCACCCAAGGCAAATGCCTTGTTTGCCTCGCAGCATATACGCCCCTGGTACACAGTACAGTCTTTCACTTTTATTACTGTGTTCCTCTATTCCTTCTGAGTTTTTCTTACTTGTCCCTTTTTATCAACAATAACAAAAATTCCCAGGCAGCTGAATCCCTTGCTAGGGAGTAAGGGTGCACTCTGTTTAAGAGAGTGTTATTGAACAAGCACCAAAATTCACATAAATCATACAGGATATATCATGCCACTGTATTTAGTACCTTATAAGTACCCTAAGTACCTTTTTCCGGCAGGACTGTTGCGTGGTCACATGATCTTTTCCTGTTTTTTGGCATCCGCAGGGGAAGATTCTTAGAAGGGCTTCTATTGACTCTGCTGATGTATGCACTTTACATTGTGTGTCTGCTGTATCTGCACAGCCCTGATCGGTACTGTGCCAATCATATGACTAATAAAGACAATGTCAGAAGACCAATTCAAATGAAGTTAGAAAATATTAAAAATCTGTTTTATAGTGTATTTTTTGTGCATTAATATGGTATAGGCAAGATTAAATTTTTGTTCAGATAGCATCTGCATCCAAGGCTTTTTTTTTGGGTATTAGCAATTACATTAGATATATTTCATACTAATTTATATTAAAACTAAGGTTTTTTTGTGAGTTTCTTCGTGAATGTAATCAATAAGCATACTACATCCCACCCCCATAGTGTTTAGCAGTAGGAGGACATGGAGGAGGAGGGAGGGAGTAGGCTGTCATTTACCACTGGGACGCACTGGAAGGCTTTGCTGTCATTTTGTATAGCTGGGCGTCACGTGCATCTCTGTACCTTTAAGGAAGGATGGACTCCTTCAGGCACACCTGCCCTTAACCCCTCCATTTATACATGTGCTCCTAATATCTAGGTTTTGAAAATTTTAGTTAGGTCCACAATATACAGAGGACCCTTGATGTGGGACTGTGGCTTATGCATGTATTTGCAAATGTGTGCAAACAAAACCATCAGTTTTTACGCAAAATGTTAGACAGGGCCATATTGGTTGTTTCGCAAGCTGGCTGCTAAGTGTTGCTGAGAAATCCTTTTTTGTTTTTGATGTGCATTGCCCTTCCATGTGCACCTTACTGCTAAGGCTGGTTATAGGTTGGAACGGTTGCCATTTTGTGTAGTTGTCATTTACCACTGTGTATATGCACACATGTGTGACCATATAGTCACATGGGCTGCACAGGCAAAAGGCATTGTAAAAGTGATCAGGCCACTATACAGCCACCCAGATCACTTTAACCACTTGCCGCCCAGCCACCGCATATAAACGGCGGCAGGGCGGCACTCGTAGGCAAAAGCACGTTTTAAAAAGGCTGCCTTCAAAAACAGGTAGGGGGCATGAGCGAGGCGCGCGCCCGCCCTACCTGTCCCGCGGGTGTCAGCAGCGGGTGTCAGCTGCCGGGTCACAGCCGGTTTTACCGGCCGTTTTCCCACGATTGACGGTGATCGCTGACACAGAGCAGGGCTGCATTGTTTACACACAGCCCTGTTCTGTGTCAGTTCTCTGACAGCTTGTGAGAAGCTGCAGAGTTTCTCTCCCTCGATCAGCTCCCCCCTCCCTCCCCCCCATGCAGTACACACCCCCGCCCCCTAGTAAAACACTCCCCTTACACAGCAAATTCTAAAAATGTTAACCCCTTCCTCCCCAGTGACATTAGTACAGTTTTGGGTTTTTAGTGGGTTTTTTCACTGATCACTGTATTGGTGTCACTGGGGATGTCAGTTCCCCCAGTCCCGCAGTCCTGCCATAAGTCACTGGTCGCCGCCATATGTCGCTGATTGCCTCCATATGTCGCTGATCGGCTCCATTATTAGTATAAATAAAAATCCCAGTATCTTTCCCGCCATTTGTAAACGCTATAACTTTCACGTAAACCAATTAATTTACACGTATTGGGATTTTTTTTTAGCAAAGACATGTCGCAGAATGCATTTTGGCAGAAATTTATGACTAAATTTGATTTTTGCATTTTTTTTTTCACTGGACACGTTTTATAGCAAAAAGTCCAAAATATTTTTTTTTTTTTCCTCAAAATTGTCAGCCTTTTTTTTTATAGCGCAAAAAATAAAAAACTGCACAGGCGATCAAATACCACCGAAAGAAAGCTCAATTTGTGGGAAAAAAAGGCTGTAAATTTTATTTATGTACCGTATTGCGTGACCGCACAATTGTCCATTAAACTAGCGCAGCGCTGTATAGCAGAAAAATGGCAGTATTGATACCATAGTTTGTAGACGCTATAACTTCCACACAAAGCAATCAATATACACTTATTGGGATTTTTTTTACCAAAAACATGGAGCAGAATACATTTTGGCCTAAATTTATAACCAACTTTGAGTTTACTATATATTTTTTATAGCTGAAAGTAAAAAATATTGTTTTTCTTCAAAATTTTTGGCCTTTTTTTGTTTATAGCGTGAAAAATAAAAAGCGCACAGGTGATCAAATTACACCGAAAGAAAGCTCTATTTGTGTGAAAAAAAGGACATAAATTTCGTTTGGGTGCAGCATTGCATGACCGCGCAATTATCAGTTGAATTAGTGCAGCGCCGAGTAGCAAAAAGAGGCCTGGTCATTAAGGGGGATAAATCCTCAGGAGCTCAAGTGGTTAAAGCCAGGAGCTGGCTGAACAAAACAGATACATGCTCATGGCTGCTACTGTGTACATCCAGACATGTGAAGTACTTAAAATGTACTCTCTTAGACTGTAAGCTCCAAGGAGCAGGGCCCTCCTATCCCTCTTGTATTGAACTGTATCTTGCTGTATTGTCTTCCATTAAATTGTAAAGCGCTGAGCAAACTGTTGGCTCTATATAAATCCTGTATAATAATAATATTTTGTTTAAGGCAGTATCATGCCCTGAGCACTGAGCTTTTCAGATCTACTTATAGAAGATGTAAGAAAGAGCATTGGAAGAGAAAAGAACATCCAACCTGCTGCCTACAAATAATAAAATATTTCCCATTTACTTGAATAAAAAGAAAATAGCGAGGGGAATTTACTAAGAATGAAGCAGCCAGAATCTGGAGCAGCTCTGCATGGCAACAAATTAACTTCTAGCTTCAAATAGAACTATAGGCAAAACATTTTTGTTATTTTGGATAGAGAAAGTAAGGTTTATAACCCCTGTCAGATTTTTTTTTTCATCTGTATCTTATTGGAGAGATTTCCCTTCACTTTCTGTTCGATAGCCAAAAAGGAAGTGAGAGCAAATTAAAGGAATTGCTTGGGGACCCCCAGGTCACCAGAACTAGTGTTCTCACTGGAGTACAGACAGCAGTAAAAACTGACTAGCATTGTAATCCCTCTCCACTCTATCCAAAACTGAAAAAAAGATTTGCCTTTAGGTATACTTGCATTTTCAAAGCTTAACTTTACAAGCTAAAGCCAGAAGTTGATTGGTCAAAATGCACAGCTGCTCCAGATTCTGTGTTTCAGCTTTAGTAAATTCCCCCCCAATGTTTTTTTTTAATGAACAAAGTAAATGAATACGAATATAATTAAAATAACACTAAGGGGTTGATTTACTAAAACCAGAGAGAGCAAAATCTGGTACAGTTCTGCACAGAAACCAGTCAGTTTCCATTTTTGGTAGTGGATTGGCTACAATGCACAGCTGCACCAGATTTTGCTCTCAACAGTGTAGCATCCTCCTAGTCAGGTGCTATGATGTGTATTGTTAGGGTAAGCATAGCTGTGTTTCTCTGCTTACCAGAGAGGCTGTCAGGTAAATTCAATGTAGTATTCTGCTTAACAGAGAGCTGTGATTGATGAGTTAGGTCTGTTCATGCTGCTCTGATGCTGTTGGAGTTTGTCTGAGTTCTGCCCGCCTTTAGGAAGCTATGAGAGCCTTCCAGAACAAAAGTAGGGGCTAGGCAAATGAACTGCATGAATATGGATACAGCCATGGCCAATTGCAGGGGAAGGGAGTCCCATTGCTTCCTGGAATTGGTATTTATATTCTGAGAGCAAATGGGTTCAGTGCAGGGGCGGACTGACCATTTGGAAACTCGGGTACTGCCCGAGGGCCCCGGGGTCAGTAGGGGGCCCCATGAGATGCCCCTGGTACCTTTTTCATAGGCTTTTTTGAGTTTGGGCAAGGCCCCATGATCCCCTATTGCCCGGGGGCCCCATGAGTTGTCAGTCCGCCCCTGGTTCAGGGTCTTCCCCAGATTGCACCAAGCCAGGCTGGAGGCAGGCTGCCTTACATGGCACTTGCTGACATGTGACCTCAGGTGGGTCGATTTGAGGGCTTGAAGTTAGAGAGAGTGACCCTGGTTCTTCAGTAAGCTTACTGAGGGGAGCTGTCTGCTAAAGCTCTGTCTGGTATCACTGGAGGATTTTGCTTGGATGATTGGAAGGAGGTAGCTTGGGTCTTAGGCCTTGAGTACTGACACTGAGGAATTTGGGGACTCTGTGTGCTTGCTACTTCCCTTAATGTTTGATAGGCAGCGTGAGTCTGGAAAAAGGAAACACTAGTTAGTGTTCTAAAGAGCTTGTCCAAGTGTTGCTACCGCAAAGGACTTTGCTCAGGTACGTTACTTTTTGGCTGTCGCAGTCTGTCGTAACTGGCTGAGGAGCGCAGCCTTGTAACTACAACTACTGCAAAAAGGGACATTGCTCACTCCTAAAACTACTTGCTGCTATATGTCAAGGAAGTCAGCTATATACTGTCAGTCAAGACTTCTACCGTTTTCAACCACGTGAGCAACTAGATATCCTCAGTGTGAATAGTTCTGATTTGGAGCATCCTTCTACATTCCCCCTAGTTCTACAATACAGTCCAAAAACAAAACATCCCCTAGACTGGTCATTGAAGGCAATGAGCAAAAGTATGTGTGATTATATTTGGCTAAAGAAATTCACTGTGTCTGGCTGTTGGGCAAAGTAAGGGGAAACCGGAGCAACATACAGTGCTCAGCATAAATGAGTACACCCAAACAGATTTGTCAGAAAACCTTTACTTTACTTTCAGAATCAACATTTTCTATGGGACACTGTACTACAAAATATTCCCACAAATGCGGGACATTGATTGCAAACAAGATTTGTTAATTTGCACACTCAAAAAATAATTTTCCAAACAAATTCATTCAAGACCATGGTGCAAAAATGAATACACCCCAATGAAAGTCTTAGGAGCAAAGCTAAATTTTAGAAAACAAAATCCTAATTAATCACTCTAATTATTCATTAAACAGGTGTCCAGCAGAAAGTTGATTATAAAAGGGCATTACTTAACAAAGAAAACCCCTTCCCATTTCATGCTGTCAGCAATGGCACCACATGGAAGATGTGGTGGCAGTATCCTTCTGAGGGGCTGCTGGTGTTGGGGAGCTGCATCTCATTGATAGCATCATGAATTCACAGATGTACTGCTCTATATTGAAAGAGAAAATGCTACCATCACTCTGTGCCCTTGGTCGTCGTGCACTTTTCCAACATGACAATGATACAAAACACACATCTAAGACCACTGTTGTATTTCTGAAGAAGAACAAGGTGAAAGTGATTCAGTGGCCAAGTATGTCTCCTGATCTGAACCAAATCGAACACCTATGGGGAATTCTAAAGAGACAAGCTAAGCATCACTCTCCATCCAGCATCCAGGATCTAAAAGAGGTCATTCTTGAAGCATGGAAAAAGATATATGTTGTAATATGTAGCCAACTTGTTCATTCCATGCCTAGAAGACTTGGCACTGTCCTTACAAATCATGAAGGTCATACAAAATACTAGATGGATTTGTTTTTTTTGTGGGGTGTATTCATTTTTGTCTCAACTAATTTGAGTAAAACTGAAGATTTTGTAATCTAAGTAATATTTTATTAATCTTACTTTCAGCTAATGACCTAAGCAAATGTTCTATAAAACTCAGTTTTGTAAAAATTTTGGAAATTGTTCTTGTGTTAATTGAGATATTGATCAAAATCTTACTTTCAAAAGAGGTGTACTCATTTATGCTGAGCACTATATAAGCGGCTCCTTCAGGGGTAGCGCTACACCAATATTAGTAAATCAACCCCTAAGCATTTCAATTAAAGTTATATTAAAGGCTTGTTTTTTTCTGTTTACATAACAAACATGTCATACTTACCTGCTCTGTGCGAGGGTTCAGGCACTCCAGGCCCCTCCTCCTGCCTAGTGCCCCTATAGAAAGAACCTTGCTAAGGAGGTACCCGGGCAGGCTTGCTCCTGAGCCGCTGCTCTGTGTGCCCATTCACACACAGAGCGTGGCTTGGCCTGCCCTTGCTCTCTCCTCAATGACTCACTGGCTGTGATTGATAGTAGGGGGAGCCAATGGCTATCATTTCTATCTCAGCCAATGAGGAGGGAGAGACCAAAGAGAGCCAAGGCTCTCATTCACATCACTGGATCGGGATGGGGCTCAAGTAAGCTTTAGGAGGGGGGCCGGGGCATTGCTGCATACAGAAGATTTTTTACCTTCGGACATAGAATGCCTGAATTTAAAAAACCTTTAGCTTTCACAACCACTTTAAAATCCTCAAGTACCAATTTTGAGTTATTTTACAAATGTTAGCAGTTTTTACCTTAAAGTAATCGTAATAGGACTTTTACCTGCCTGCTATTCCATATTTTTTGCAATTATTAAAAGAAAGTAGTAAAGTAGGTATCCTCCCCAGCAACTATGTATTTTACAAATGACACCTATATCCCTATTTAGGATATACATCTAATATGGTCCTAGACATTAATGGTGTCCAATGTCTATGTATTTCCAAAGAAAGAGGAAATCCTTTTCATACTTTTAGTTAAAAATAAACCATTGTGGTATATTTATTATCAATCCAAAAGCCCAGAATAATAAAATTAAAGTTAGTACAAACAAATCTAAGGGCCACACTACATGGAAGCAAACCTTCATTAGTGCATATTTTGTGTCACAATGTATACAATCTGTTTGCAAGAGTCATCATAACCTCAAACCATTTAGATTTCCATCATAAAAAAGTTTATATTTCCTGGGATGTATTTCTTTGACACCTAATGCGTTTCTTGGAACAATAGCCTACCTCTTCAGAGGAGCACCATGACAAACAAAGGTAATAATCTCTTCATTTTGGTGAAGATTTCGGTTGAGGCAATGGACATCTCATAGTTCCCTTTAAATGGAATAAGCCACCACTGAAAAGGAGAAAGGGATGATGCTCATTACCCTTTGGGGCTAAGTGGCACCATGTGTAGCACAACAGCGTAGACTCCATTGTAAGTGATCAGGGGAACAGATGCCCTGCAGTATAGGACAGCACAGGGAAGGTTCCCCAAATTCTCCCAGTTGGGAGAAAAGCTAATAATGAACAGATACACATGGAGCGCATTGCTATTTACAGTATGACTTGACCAATTCATTGACTTGCATTGAGAGAGCGTGCAGTATAACACAACCATTGGGGGAGATTTACTAAAACTGGTGCACCCAGAATCTGGTGCAGCTATGCAAAGTAACCAATCAGCTTCCAGGTTTTATTGTAAAAACGTAATCTGAAGTTAAATACTGATTGGCTACCATGCACAACTGCACCAGATTCTGGGTGCACATGTTTTAGTAAATTTCCCCCATTGTTTAGCACTGCTAAAAAGGAGCAAACTGCATATTTTATAACCAAATATGGCTGATTTTATAAACTAATATAATTACAAAGGCCATATGAACTTTCAGTACTAATTTTAAAAACTTACATCAACCTTATCTTTTCCTATATGTTTATCCCTTTTTGGGTCTGATCAGTGCAAAATGATTAGAAGCCCATGTGTTTTATTACCTTTACAGAGAATTGTTTCAAAGCCTATCATTATTTGCAGTTTGCTACGTCTGGAAGCATTTTGGTAATTGACTTTCCTTCTTTTAGGTTCACCTATGAAATTGCTCCTGTATTTGTATTGTTGGAATATGTCACGCTAAAGAAAATGAGAGAGATGATTGGCTGGCCTGGAGGCAATGGTGACGGAATATTCTCACCAGGTAAATTAACTTTTAGGGCCTAAATTATTATCTCCTCATTCCTTTTCATCTGCCATATATATTTCCTTTTTCTGTATTGCCAGAGTGTAATGGGACTCTCTTTCCAGCCCTTGACGGTCTATGAATTTAATTCAGAGCGATGTATACAGTCCTCAAAGCAAGCTGCACATTACCATGAGCATAAAATGTGCCGTGTAGGAAAAATAATCGAATGAGACATTTGCCTTGCAGTTCTAAATACTCTGGGTTCTACAGTGCAACAAATAGAATCTGCAGAATCCCTGACTGCATTGTACACAGGATGGCAGTACTACTGAGTTGAAAGAACAATCAAAGTGAATGTTAATCAATTCTGTTTAAGAGAATTCTGTGCGTGCAATGCAGAGATTAGAATGTCTGGTAATTATTGGGAAGAGAGTGCCCTCTTTTATTTTTTTTTTTCACAAGATGCCTTATCAAATAATTCATCTTTTCGAGGCCTGTTTTATTCTCCGTCTCTGTAGGCTCAAATTCCCCCGTCAACACATTAGCTCTGTTGTGTATTTCAGCAGCTTTTAAAAAAGCTTATTGTGTCCTACCCAAGATTAAATAAATGACGCAGATTTTAATGCATGATGTCGCACATTATTCCAAATGACATTGTATAAGGGCACTTACATTTTTTTTGCATTAAGGATGGATATTTTATCATTTACAATAATTGCTGAAGGGAACATTACAAATCCAACAGACCTGCCCCTTAGGACAAAATATAAACAGAAAAATAAATAAATAAAAGAAAACATAAATAAAAGAAAAAATGTGGCGAGGTAGCTCTGGCTTAGAGCAAGCATAGTTCCAGGCCTCACTTCTCTGGTTGGTAAATGGGGTCCTCATGGTATCAAAACCCACTTTGTGGCAGGCCTACTCCCCAACATTGCTCAAATACGCCCCTCATATCTATACAGAAAACCAGATCCCTCAGACCCGGCATCCACGAGAAAGATAAAAAAGTTGAGGGGGGAGTAGAGTGGAAGGAAAGAGAGGAATCATGGAATCATGGAATGTGGGGATAGGGGAAGGGAAACTCCTCCCCTCTGTGGAGAGGGGAGAGCAAGGTGGGAAGAGGCCTATCTTTCTGGCAGCAAATACCAAATTGGACATGTGTCAGGAAAGCTGGGGTGTCTCGATTCTAACGACATCTTTCCCCAGGTCCGTGTGCCATAAACTTCTCTCCAGACCCCTCCGCTCAATGGCCAACGTGATCTTCTGGTACTCAAACTATCTATTCCATCTACCCTGTC